AAAAAAAAAAAAAAAAAAAAAAAATTAATAGAAATAATAATAATAATAATAAAAAAAATGCCCCCCCCCCACCAAGGCTCTGCACAGGGCCGTCTTTAACATTAATTGGACACTGGGCAGGCATTTGTTTGGGCCCCCTGGATCCTTCCATCCCTCGCCCTCCCCCCACACTTTCACTTTCTGGCATGCAATCACGCCCTCCACCCCAACACAGTGGCAGAACTATTGTAGACAGGGCCCTGGTGCAAGACATTGTTTTGTGCCTCCCCTCTAGCGCAAGAGCAGAGAAAAGATAGATCCTCATCTGTTGTACAATTCCAACGATGCTATGCCAGCTGGGGATCTACCATTTGTCCATTTTTGCAGGGCTGTATTTGTGAGCAGTGTTTGTGCATTTGAATGTGAGCATGTTGTTGTATACAGTATGTGTGTGCATGTAGGGTGTAGTATTGGTGTTTAAGTGTAGGGATGTGTTTCCATATACTTTTTGAGTTTGAATTCAGGGGTGTGTTTGTATGTAATGTTTGCAGGGGTGTGGTTGCATGTTGTGTTTGATTGCCGTGATGTATGATATACATTCACAGATATACATACACATTAGCACACTGATACATGCACACATCTGGACACATGCACACACTGACAAAGACTGGCGTATACACACACAACCACATACATAAATACACGTGCACACACAGAGATAAAAACACTGGCACATCCACACACAGAGATACACACACACACTGACACAGATATATACACAAATACATATGTATTTGTGTGCAGTGTTGGCGTAGGAATGCTGGGATGTATGCATTGTCACACAGATGCACTTACACAGAAACAGTGATACACACAGGAACACAGATACACATGCAGTGGTGTATTTGTGTGCATTGTTAATGTTGGAATGCAGGGTTGTATTTGTGTGCAATGTTAGATGGGATGTATGCATTGCCACACGCACAGATACACACTTACACATACTGACACTCATACACACACAGGTACATATACACAGACAAGCAGGTACACATACAAACTGACACATAGGTATACATACACACAGACACACATAAACACTGACACAAAGGTACATGTACACTGACACAAACACAGCCATATAAAACACACTGACACACAGTGTCAGATACACACACACACACACACACACACACACACACACACAGCCAGATACAATCACAGCCAGCCAGATACACACACACACACACACACACACACACACACACAGTGAGATACACATATATACACACACACAGTCAGATATACACACACACAGTCAGATATACACACACACTGACACAAACACACAAACACACACAGTCAGATATACAAAATACAAAAACACACACAGTCAGATACACACACAGTCAGATACACACAGTCAGACACAAACACAGCCAGATACAATCACAGCCAGCCAGATATACACACAGTGAGATATACACACACACACACACACACACAGTCAGATACACACACACAGTCAGATACACACACACAGTCAGATACACACACACAGTCAGATACACACACAGTCAGATACACACACACAGTCAGATACACACACACAGTCAGATACACACACACACAGTCAGATAACACACAAAATGACACACACAGCCCAGATACACACACAGTCAGACACACACACAGTCAGACACACACACAGCCTGACACACACACACACAGATACACACACAAACACACACAAACACAGTCAGACACACACACACAGCCCAGGATACACACACACACAGTCAGATAACACACACAGTCAGATACACACACACACCACAGCCCGATACACACAGATACACACACACACACACGATACACACACACACACAGTCAGGATACCACACACACACAGTGTCAGATACACACACACACAGGTCAGATACACACACACAGTCAGATACACACAGTCAGGATACACACACACAGTCAGATACACACACACACAGTCAGATACACACACACAGTCAGATACACACACACAGTCAGATACACACACAGTCAGATACACACACAGTCAGGACACACACACACAGTCAGATACACACACACACACACACACACACACACACACACACACACACACACACAGTCAGATACACACAGTCAGATACACACACAGTCAGATACACACACACAGGATACACACACAGCTGATACACACAGTCAGATACACACACACAGTCAGGATACACACACACAGTCGATACACACACACAGTCAGATACACACACACAGTCAGATACACACACACAGTCAGATATACACACACAGTCAGATACACACACACAGTCAGATACACACACACACACAGATACACACACACAGTCAGATACACACATACAGCCAGATACATACACACACACACACACACACACACACACAGCCAGACAGTCAGATATACACACACAGACACAAACACGCACAGTCAGATACACACAAACACACACACAAACACACACACAAACACACACACAAACACACACACAAACACACACACACACACACAAACACACACACAAACACACACACAGATACACACACAGATACACACACACACAGTCAGATACACACATACACACACAGTCAGATACACACATACACACACAGTCAGATACACACATACACACACAGTCAGATACACACATACACACACAGTCAGATATACACATACACACACAGTCAGATATACACATACACACACAGTCAGATATACACATACACACACAGTCAGATATACACATACACACACAGTCAGATATACACATACACACACAGTCAGATATACACATACACACACAGTCAGATATACACATACACACACA